CACACACACACACACACACACACACACACACACACACACACACACACACACACACACACACACACACACACACACACACACCAGCCCCTCCCTCTCCTGTTAAGTGGGTTAGTATTAATTAATTCTCTTCCTTCACCCTGCAGGTCCTCGTTGTTTCTTGCAGACGCTGTTTGTTCTGTTTGTTAGTGTGTGTGTGTGTGTGTGTGTGTGTTCATGGAGACAAAACAGAGTTCAAATAGTACTCCATCATTCAGACCTCGCTTGAGCACACCAAAGTTTAACTTTAGTCTGATCTGTTTGAGGTATTTCGTTATATAGTTTTAATACACTTTATTACACAGTGAAGTCCAGTCATTTTTATTGTTTAAGTTACAATACCTTCCTCATCTGGTTATTTGTTTATTTATCAGAAAAAAAGATCAACAGAAAGGATATCTTGTAAAATCTAAAAGGGTCAGGAGTGACCTCACATGTAAATAAATCAAACTGAAGATGGATACTAGCAGTGAATACATGATGGTGGATACGCTCAGATAAATTATATGCAAACTGATTGAGTTTCAGCAGGTCCACCTTGCACTACGTCGCTGTTTATGCCAATTAAAGCGCCCACCAGCGTCACCGCCCCCCCCTCCTCTATTGTCCTCCGGCCTCAGTGTTGGAGCTGTGAGAGCAGAGGGGAAGGTATGTGGGCTCAGTGCCAGAGGAGCCTGGGAGAAAAACACTGAGGCTGCCCGTGTGTGGGGTTCAACGCTCTGAGGCAAGGCGGGTTACCCCAGCAACCGGCCACCAGACAGGGCGGGTGAAAACCTCCAAAATGTCAACTTTTCCAGGAAACGGGAAGAAAAGAAACTCATTTTCAGTCCATCGTCCACGAGGACTTTTTAAAAAAAAACACTACAAAGGAGCTTTGAGAGGAATTCTTGAACCGTCAGGTCACTGAAATGTTGTTCTTTCACTATTTTAACTTTTGTCATTATAACACTTTAATTAAAAAGTACAAATGTCAACCACATCACTTTCAGAATGATATATTATTTGATTATAACTATTGATGCATGAATGTGTTGGATGTGGCAGCTGGTAAAGGTGGAGCTCATCTTAATACCTTGTCATACTGCTGGGTATCATAATTCATAATAATAATAATGTTGATTATATTCTATATTATTAAGCTGAATCTGCAAAGTAACTAGAGTTATCAGCAGTTAAATGTAGTGAAGTAAAAATATTTTTTGCCGCTGTGATGTTGTGGAGTAGAAGTATAAAGTAGCAGAAAATGGAAATACTAAATTAAAGTACAAGCATCTCAAAATTGTACTTAAGTGCAGAAGTCCAACTGAGGTGGAGAAATTACAGATTCGACTGATTTAAGTCTGACAAAATAAGATAAACTGAGTCTGAAATGTCCTAAAATGGCCACCATACAGAGGACAATATCTTCCTCTCTGTCTTTAAACTCTTTTTTTATTTAAGTGACATGATCGTTCCTCTGACTCCACCCTCAGGACACACTTTACATCTATTACAAGGTAAGGACACACAGAGAAGCGCTCCCTGCTTGGACATCATGAAGCTCTGTAGCTGCTGCAGGAGCTAGTTCCTAATTAGAAGCCAGTCTGTCCTCCAGAAACAAGAAGCTGCAGCCAGAATGTACACACTGTACTGATCGGCTCCTAATCCTGATCGGGAATCTAACGCAACAAGAGACACACTGATACGTTGCTGCATTCAGAGAGAGTCTTCCTGCCGGAGAAAGATTTATAATTTGTGTAAAAGAAAAAAGAAACTAGTGCGTTAAGATCCCTCTTCAGTCATTGTGTAGAGAAACAATGTATGTTTGTTCAAGTATAGCATACGAATTATTTTACTGCACTAAATATAAATACTTTTTACTCAAGTTCTGTATTGAAGTACAATTATTTTACATACTTGTACTTTCACTCCGCTACATCTCAGAGTGAAATAATGTACCGTTTACTCCAGCACATTTATCTTAAAGTTACACATAAAGTTACTTTATTTTTTTAGTTATTAGTTACTTTTTACATGATGCAGTACTACACTACCAATCACACAGTACTACGCTGCTAATGCCCCATTATATAAAGGATATTAAAACACTCATCTTGAGCTGTTGGACTAAACTCAGTGCGATGATGAGACTATAGATTGCTGTTTTGTTTCACCTCCTTCGTTCAGGCATTGTGTTCATGTGAGAGGATTTCCTCTGTTTCTCTGTCTGTCCGTTCAGCCCACTTCCCCCAGGCCCAAGGAACTCTTCATCCATCCACCAGATGCCCTCAGACTCTCCCACCAGTCTCGGTCACCTGACTCAAACGTCCACCTGCTCACCTGTTTCTCATTCCCCAATTACTTCAGACTTGTGAACCATGCCTGTAAGCTCACATATCTTTATTATTTCAGTAAATCACTTAACTGTTTTACTTACATATTTATCAATCAGCAGTGTGACCCAGTATCTCAAAGGATTACATCCATATTGGATGGTTTTTCACCTTAACGATCTCAACCAGTCCATAGAGTGCTGCAGGACTGAAACCCCAACATTTTTGAGCATTTTTAAACTTCCCATTCCCTTGTCTCAAAGTCAATCAAATTGCATGCCTTTTCTCTACTTCTTTACTGCAGCTGCCCTTATAAAGTGCTGTTGCATGCAGTATGCGTTCAGTTCAGACGTCCCACTTTGTCATAATATTGCACATTGAACTCTGAACCTCTTGCTCATACATCCACTGGGCAGAGGATTGTGGGTCAGATAGCCAGAGAAGCCTGTTGGCTTGCATATTTCTGATATTTCTGGCATACTACATTTGTCATATTATGTATTTGCACATGCTAAATATTTTTCAGAAATAAGGTCTGTGATTTAAATTAGATAAAATATTAGCTGAGCATTGGCTTAAAAACATCAGCTCAACAACAGTTATAAGCTAACCTTACAGTAGCTCAGAACGTCAGCTTGCAATAATTAGAAGATTAATTGGCAACTATCTTTGATAATTTATTGATTGAGTAATTTTTCATGCAAAAAAACAACACAATCTCCTCAGATGTGAAGATTTGGGGCTTTCCCTGTCTGTTGTGATTGTAAACTGAAGACGTTTTGGATTTATAGTTCAGACCTCACATTCTTCTTCTTTTTTGACATTATACAGACGTCGTTTTGTTTTTATTTTGCACCTGACAGCAGCTGATGTCTTTGTACAGCTATAGAAGTGAACCTGTCGGCACTAGGACCCCTCAACCTATGAGTTCCGGCGCTAGGACCCCTCGGACACCGTTATGGTCTCTTTGTCTCCACCAGTCAGAGCGCCTCCTCCTCCTCCTCTCTAGTCTCACTCCGTGTCTCTCTCCATCAGCAGCGGTCTGGATGCTTGCAGGGACAGAAACATGGCTGTGAATCTCGGCAAGAACAGACTGGAGCTGCTGACCGCCTACCAGGACGTCATCGACGAGACCTCGGACACCGACTGGTGAGTCCTGCGCCCCGGCACGGCCGTCTCCTCTCTCTCTCTCCATCTCTTCTTTCCTGTTTCAATGCGTTGCTGCTCTCTCGGCGTCCCTCGGGGTTTTCTTCTCCGGGTTTGGTGCACGCTGAGGATGCGCAGGGCACACAGTGCAGCATCATCATCATACCCGTAGTGGTGTAAACTATACAGGCCGGGCAGATTCCCCCACTGCTCCACGCGCTGTCAAGTCAGTTTGTATCTTTAGCTTTGCGTAATTACGCGCATTAAGCGGCTGCGAGCCGGAGGAAGCTCAGCGGTGAAAGTGAGAGTTTTGTATTTTTTTGGGGGGGTTCGTATAGATCAGGAAAGCAGCAGGTTTTTCGTGTCTGGACTGAACTGCACTGCAGAGTCGGGGCAATGTGCGCTGCTGCTGTGCAACACCGTGTGCGCATTGGACAAATAATTGTGCAAGCGGACCGCTTTGTTTCCCCTCAGTTTCTCCTCTCAGTCGGGACTAGGTTTACTCGCAGCCAGCTGGAAGCAATTTCAGGCTTTTATGCAACGCGATGCAGCAGCGGTGTGTTCGTGTGTGTGTGTGTGTGTGTGTGAGGCTTCAGCATGGGTAAACGGGCCTGGTCCAGAGATACTGATGAGCCCCTGCATCCCCAATCGAGGGGCGAGGCCGGGGGGGGGGGGGGGGGGGGGGGGGGGGGGGGGGGGGGGCTTCCATCATCACTCTTTGTGGCGTTTTCCTCACTTGGAAATAGTGCAAGAGGTGGCAAGCAAAAAGCATGCTGAAATATAGGACGTGGAAGTGAAATCACTGCGCTCAAACCGCATTGTATTCGGCTTTAAAGTTCTCATGAAGCAAGGTTTTTGAAAAGACCTACAAGTACTAGAAATGTGGAAATGCACAAGTGGGAATTTTCTTTGAATTCCAGACAAGGTCGGATAATAAACCCGCAAAAGAAAATTTTTCTCCCAAGTCTTCAAATATGGAAATCAAACTATTTTCAGTGGAAAGTTGTTTTTGATGAATTGTCTTTTATGCATGCATTGGTAGAAAAACACAAGATGCACTTTTAGAATTAGAGACATAAAAAACACAATGTGACCATATAAGGGCCAATAACTTACATACACACTGAAAGAACAAAATTAAAACATGGTTTAAAAGCAAAATTAAAACATTTGAATTAAAGTGATGCTAAAAGAAAAAAAGTAAGTCCATGACTTGTCCGTGAATGTAAGTCCAACACTATCTCTCTGTTAGCTCTGTTTTTGGTCTCCACCAACTCCTGAGGGAAATATCTGTTTCCTGTATTGATTTCCGCTCGTTACATGCATACGGCCTACGGTAATTAAAGTACTTAGTTAGGTTTATGAAAATAAGTGGACCCATTTTTTTGTAGGTATGGCTGAGTTGACTTGAGCTGCAGATTCAGCTGTTCATCTTTTAGGTTCCCCTTTCACATTGTGACTTGTTGTCATCTCTTTATTTTAAAAGGATGCAGTATGGTGTCATTGAATTCACAGCCCGCACACAATAGTCGCCACTAAGTTCCAAATCACTGCAGGTCGGGCAGCGTTTCAGCTCAGATTACAGATCCTGTTTTTGAGTTGTTGGGAGAAATGTGAACCTGTGCCATCTGTTGCCGGCCATTAGTCTAAATCAGGTCAGATTGACTTGAAAACGCACGCAGTGGTTCGGCTTTCAGTTTGTAGCCTCCGTGGTTTTGGGGGAGGTTTTGGTTCCACATTTTGTTCTTGGTTTGGACCAAGAACAAACTTCTGTTGCAACCCTGTAAATAAACAATTAATACAATATCCAATGCTTTGGGGATTCAAATGTATCAAATATTTGGGATGCACTCCCCTATAGTTGGAGATCGGGAGTGAAATAACATTGTGTATTCGGGGAATTGAACAAATACATTTGAAAGCTGCAACACCACATTTAGGGTCATTATAACAAATCAAGGCAGAATGGGAGGTTTATCATGCTGGATAGTGAAAGCTTTGGATACCAGCGCCAGTATATAAAATACTGTTAACAATACAAAACCCCTTTTTTTTGTGATGCCAACATTGGCTGTAACAAAATAGGACAATTGCTGTTGCAATTGACCAAATATATGATTTTAAATGAGGCAAAGTCTGATCAAAGAATAAGTAAACTTTACCACTTTTCACTCGGTACTCAAAAAGTATTGCGGTTGGATACCTGGCCCTCTGGAAACACTTCTGTATCACTCTCATGGCTTCATTTTGGGGTTGTTTATTGACTACAGTCAATCATGTGAGATGTTAGTCATACATCGACTGACAAAGTCTAATTTCTATCTCATCCTGAGATTGTGTCACAACAGTCTGGCACTGAGCTCTAAAAAAAGATGGAAATACGTCATTGTTAACTGCTTGTTAAGTTGTTGATCCAGACAGGAAATTATGCCCCCCCCCCCCCTTCACTCAGACTCTCCTTCCTTTAAGCTCTGGCATCACAATGTTTGCGTGTCACCCCGTCCTGTTAATGTGACTGACAGCTGCCAACAATCAACCCACAGGTTAATGTTTGTCCTCTCAACTGTTTGCTTGCTCTGTGGGATGATCTGGTGCAGCAGAGAGACGATGCGGAGGGCCGCAGGCCTGCCCCCGTTTTTCACACTTGATGAGATTTGAACAAAGGCAGAGACTTCCAAACGCCACTGACCCCAAACAACACGGGACACCCTCCACCCCCCTCTGTCCTAATAATGATACACCCATCTATCCATCGAAGATCCTTTTTAAAGCTAAGTAAGGGCAGTAGTAGTCTGGCTTCAGGGTCTCTGATTTGTTCAGCGCGCTAAATGGGTCTGGTGTTTGTGTGCACATTAACGAAAAAAACAATCAACCAATCGGAGCTTTTTAAGGTTGCATTGAGAACTATCTTCCTGCATAGCTTATAAAGAATAATGATGTTTATTAGGCAGCAACAAAAACTGTTTAATGCTCCGACCAGCTTCCATGTCACCTTTAAAATGGCCGTGGGATACTTTTCACTATTTTATAGACCAAACAATACAAGGAGAAAATAACCGAGAAGATTAAGTGAAACTTCAAGTAGACATCCGTTGCAGCAATAAACAAAATTTCATTTCTATCATCAGGCTACTGCAGTAGTTACTGAAATAATTGTAGCTTCAAAATGTTTGGATTTTGCTGATTGTTTTTCTCCGATTATTGTAAACCCAATCTTTCTGGGGTTTGGACCATTGGTTGGACAAAACAAGCACTTTGGTAAATTGAAATTACATTTATTTGCACTATTTTAATCGGCAGACTGTGATGAAAAGAATCTTAAGTTATTGGCCTGAACTGGATTTAAATTAAATTCCCCACAAATTGAGTGGTCTTTTAGTGTCCGGTGTACATTCCTTGATGCTTGTTTTTTTTTTTTTTTCTCTTCATCTTCGGCGTCCTCTTCATCTTCATTACCTGCTACGTCGTCTTTATCTTGTACAGGTTTGATTCGTGTCTCCGGCTCTTTTTGTGTCAGCAGTGGAATCAATCAGGAAGGTGTGTTTTTCTCTTTTTATTCCTGGAACACAAAGCTGTAGAGGTTTATTCATTAACTACATCCTCACATAATGTGTGTCCCTGTGAACGGGCCTTATCTCACAGCCTGCCATCCTGCAGCTCGTGTCTCAGCTCTCAGAGGAGAGCGATGCAGAGAAGGACTTTATTAAAACGATGCTAGTTCTCGGGGCTGGGAGAGAATCCCGTATGAGAATGTATCGCTTTTCAATCAAATCATATCGTGATGAAATCATATGTCTTGGTACACGATTACATCGTCTTGATGATAACAAGCATACTAACACAAATTTGTTACAAAATGTGATTGTTTTGCTCTAAAGTTCTTAATTAAATGAGAAAATACTCGTTACTTTTCACGTATTTAAATCTCGCAAGAGTGCACAAAACCCTGCCGTGAGTTGTTCTTCTACATCATTTGATCTAAACCACTAGCAGTGCAGCAGCCGGACTCTACGGATGGCAGTGTTGGTCGGTCTAACACTTTGGTCCAGACTGACATACCTCAACAGTTATGGGATGGATTATCATGACATTTTGTACAAACATTCCTTGTTCCTAGAGAAGTAATCATCACATTTGCATTGTCTACATTTTTAAGAGCATATCCGGCACTCAAGCTATATGCTCTCTGCAAGAGGAGCTTGTTTACCCTTTTTGACCTCATGTCATGTGGTGAACAATGTCCTGTGGCAGCAGGAAGCATTTGGACATCAACATTTGGTTGCATAGGGACTTCAAGTCAGGTGAAAAGGACTTACCTCAGCAGTCCTACAACTTTTATTTTAGGTTTTTAGCAAATTGATTTATTAATTGATTAACGGACGGCGATGTGCATATTCATATTCAATGTATGAAGGCGTGTTATTGCTAACCTGCTTTGAAATGCTGCTGTATTCAAAGGGAGAATATCAGCTTGGCGATCTAAGAGCTGTAACAAGAAGGGATCGACGTTTACAGCGTGTTCTCATTATTTCATCCAGCGCCTGAAGGACGAAGCAAAGACCGTCGGCTCTCTAACCACAAATGTCAGACTGTAGCAAAGGTGACGTTGTGAAAAAAGGGCAGTGAGTGATTCAGGGTTATCCAATATCAAACAGTCTGCAGACGTTCAGGAATGCTGATCGGCCCGAGGCTGCTGCCATATGACCCTTTGACCCCCTCCAGCTGTTTGGGGAGGCCATTACCTGACGAGTCACCTCTGGCAGCTTGACAAAAGAAGAAACTGGTGGTAAGAGGAGCCGAGCAGGAGGGTCGGCGGACTCTGAGTCATGTTTCATTAATTGCAGCTCTCAGACAGAGAACCGTCAGGTCTGACGCAGTTGTTCTTTTTATGAATTTTCTCTCGTTACTCACATTTTTCTACTTGGCTATTCATTTATACATGTTTTTTATTTACCGCTGAAAGGCTTTCTCTCCACACTGACGGCTGGGTTCAAGGTCGGTCA